TGAGGCCTGGGAAGTTATGCCGAGGGTGGAAGGCATAACTAGATCGTATGACATAGCTGGCGCTGGGGTATTGACCCTGTAACCTACTTCGGGCCTTGCCGCTACGGGAATTGTCGAGGGAGGAAGGCACTTCCTGTCCGTCAGAGCTAGGTTGATCGGTACTGGGGAGGGTTGTGGTGCCCTGTTACCCTAGCAGAAGGGGGTATGAGATCAAGTGAGTTCTGGTACCGTGGTACGAGGTCTGAAAGCCTGGACCAACACTCCATCTGTTGGAAGGGGATATCTAGGGTAGTAGACAGTTTTAGTTTTGCGCCCCCCGTTCTTATATTTTTTAAAAACATTTTTTGAATGTCCTAAAGAGATTTGGGTGCTCAGTGGTCCTTGGATGTTTTTAGGACTTAGGGATCCCTACCAACTCGTCTTACATGGCGTTATCACTGTTATACTCGAGATCTGCGGTTGTTCGATGCCAGAACAACGCTGACCGGAGCTGGGGTGTTGCCCTGTAACCTGTTATGCAGGAGCATGAGGTCTGGTAGAGAGATCTGGGAAGGTCTTGGGGGGGCTTTCCATGGGACAACCCAGGGTTGCTGCCGGGACGATGCTGGCCGGAGCTGGGGTGAGTTGCGTTGCCCTGTAACCCAGCAGAAAGTGGGGGTGTGAGACCTGGAAGAGAGCGGCAAAAGTGTACAACAGTTTTGGAGAACGTTGGAAGGGTGTGTGTGGGTTTTCAAGGTTTTTGGAACAATCGTAGGACCTCTGTGGCCTATTCTCTTGCTTCTGGAACGACGGCAAGAGTCAATAATGTGAGTGGGAGAAGATGGTGGGTTATCATGCGTCCTACCAGTGAGGGGGCTAGCTGGTAGGATGGGAGTATGACATAGCAGCAGTAGAGATGGTGGCTCCGCTGCAGTCAGTCTTGCCGGAGTGAGGCAAAGCGGATCAGTGGGGCTTTTTCCGAGTCGTTTCTGAATTTTCTCATGAAGTTGTCATAGACATGTCTGAAGTAGCTCCAATAGTTCCGAGCTAAAGCCGGGTGATGGTCCCGGTATCTCAATTTTCTAAGCTCCATCCTTAGGCCAAGTAATGTTTTCTAGTAGTTCCTTGCCTCATTTTCTTGAAATTGTCTGATGAAGTTTTCTGAAGTTTTCTGAACGTACTCGTTATGGGACGCTGGGCCCGGTTCCCAGTTTGTGCCAATTAGTGAGGATATGGTTGTATCTATGGGACGCTGGACCCGGTTTCCAGCAGGTGCTGCTCCCCACCAATAGATGGAGCTTGTTTCAAAAAAAAAGAAAAAAAAAAAGAAAAAAAGTGTAGAAGGGTCCTGCAATGATGACAATCTGCAAGGAGTTTCGGGAGTGCCTGTCGTACGTCGTTGCTCCACCTCACCAAATGTGGAAAATGAGAATGTATTTTCGCACCCTGTACATGGGAAAATACATCCCCATAGTTTTTGCCTTCCGTGTATGTGGTGAGAAGCACCAACGGGCGTGGAGTGGACGTTCACGCACAAAGCATGTGTAGTGTGCACACACAGACACACACACACACACACACACAC